TAGATTGACAGAATGCCTTTACTTGTCGATTTGTATGTGGTGCTAAGGTTTGAACCCAGTGCTTCACATGTGCAGGCAAGTGCTCTGCTGCTCAGCCCCAGCCTCAGCCCCCTCTGGCTTTGGAACACTCCAAGACAGCTGAGACATGACCCTGGCCTCCAGCCCTGCCCAAGGTGCAACAGCGCTGCACCTCTGAAGGCGTCTGTGCCCTTGTCCCCTTGCCTGGAACTTTCCTCTTGCCTGCCGGGGTCAGCCCAAGTGGTCCCTGAACATCCTCCTGGCCCCTTGTCATATTAGGCAGCTGGCTCCTCTGCTCCCTCTAGCCTTCACAGAAGCCCTGGAGGGCACAGTGGCCCCTGGGGCCCCTGAGAGACACTTGCCGAGTGGATGGATAGAGACAGGAGCCAAGTCAGAGGTCCCTAAGGCCAGGCCCATTGGACATGTGCAGACAAGGGGCGCTGAAGCCACCCAGGGCCAGGCCTGGGACAGCCCAGGATGCCACGGCTTGTGTCCACATAGAGGTGAGACCCAGCACTGGCTTGGATCACAACCTGACGTTACCAAGACAGGGTAGTGGAAGGGGTGCAGCAGGGGGTCCCACTCTTTTTAAAAAAATTTTATTATATTTATTGTGGAAAGAACCTAATTATCCCAAGCTAATGCTATTGAATTCAGTCTTTTTATTGCAAAAAAAAAAAAAATACAGATCACGTCTCATCCAACTTTTTTATTATGCCATGTCATTGTTCCATACCAAGAACCATAATTTTTTGAAATATAATTGCAAATAACAAAACATTTGGAGTTTGGAAAAATAATTATTCATTAGCATGCATATTTACAAGTTCATTAATTAGATTCTCATTTTCAAAGTTTATAAAACTTCTTTAGAAATTATGGAGCATAAATATGGAAGAAAGGGGCAAGAGACTTTCCACTAAAAGGTGAATTATAAGCTAGAAACAAGCACAAATATTTCGTGACAAACATGGAGGGTAAATACTTGGGCATGACATTGGCCAAAATATATCATTATGTTGTGTGTGTATGCATGTGGAAAAACTCCTGTTGTGTGCAATGACTATGCAACTTTAAAAATATGGAATATCACAATGTGTAATAATGGCATCTTCAATAAGATTCTCCTGAAAAACAAAACTAATAATATGTAGTGGGGGATGTGAGAAAGAGAGAGAGAAAGGAGGGTATTTTAAGTAATTGGCTCACACAATATAGAGGGGCTGGCACTTCTGAAATCTGCACTGCCGGATGGCAGGCAGCAGATCCAAGGAAGAGTTGATGTCTCAAGTCTAGAGGTGCAGACAGAATACCATCTACCTGGGGGACTTCATTCTTCTATCTTAAGGTCTTCAGCTGATTGCAAGAGTCTCAGACTGCTTAGCCGGCAAATGATTGCAGCAAGAGTACTGTTGGTTACACATTCAAGTTCACTGGTAATTCCTTCTGACAGAGCTCCCTGGCACAAGTGCCGGGGTTCAATGTTCCTCTTCACTAAAGGCATGGCTCACCATCGGTCCATGGTCCCACCGCTGGCGCCGGAGCTGCGCTGGGAGCTCCATCGTCCGGCCACGGCCTGGTGCCACTTCCCACAACACACTGCCAGAGGTCCCACTCTTTAAAACCCTAGGAGTGGGCGGGGACACAGCTCAGTGGGTAGAGTGCTTGCCTCACAGGCACAAGGCCCTGGTTCCATCCCCAGCAGCACAGAACAAACACAAAATGACCCCAGGAGCCAGCTTTATGCAGGGTTTTTTTTTTTTTTTAATAATTTTTAAAATTCGTTTTAATTGTTACACATGACAGTAGAATGCACTTTGATACATCATGTATAATGGAGTATAATTTCCCATTCTTCTGGTTGTACATGGAGTAGAATCCCACCGTTGTGCAGTCACAACTGGAGGGTGACAGTGTCCGCTTCATTCTGCCCTTCTGCCTGCCCTGCCCCTCCCCTCCCCCTCCCCCGCATGGGAAGACCCCAGCCCCTGTGAGTTAGCACCCGCGTGTCAGAGAGAACATTCTGCGTCAGGTTTGTACTTGCCACAGAGCCAGGCGTAGGTGCCGGGCCCTGCAGTCGGCCCCTCTGGGCTGGCATCCCACTGACCGCCAGGCCTGGGCAAGGCTCTGGTCCTGTCCAGCCTGGTCTTCCCATCTGTGACATGGGACAGCACTGCTCCCTGCATCCTCGGGTGCTTGTGAGGACTAAATCAGACACTTTGCACCTGAAGAGCCCAGGAGGCTGCACAGAGGATGTGGCACCAGCAGCAGCTGGATGTGACCAGCATCCAGGGACCAGGACACCACAGGTGGCCTGCCCAGGGCAGCATCAGGAGGAAGAGGCCTGCGTGCACTCGGAGGGGGCCTGAATGCAGACCACCCACCAGAGACACCCAGGCAGTCTCCCGGGGACCCCTGGATTCTGGGCCTCTGGGTTTGACCGAGCGTTGAGTGCAGGAAAGTGTGTGACCCCGTAAGTGTCTGTTGGTGTCTGAGTCATCCCCCAGCCCACCCCCTGGAAAGGCCAATGTCCAGTTTGTGCTGACACAGTGGGTGGTGGTGGCCCCTGGTCAGTGTCCTGCCCACCTCTAGGCTGGAGGGGAGATGGATAAGGAGGAAAGTCATTGGACACCCTTAGGAGGACTGTGGCACCCGACACAAACCAGCTACTTGGTCCCCAAGCCTCAGGGGGAGGCAGAGGCACAGAGAGGTTAAGCAGCAGCCAGCAAGAGGCAGCAGCCCCGTCCAGCCCCACAGCGCCCAGGTGTGCCCCTGCCAGGCAGCGAGTCCTGCTCCCCTCCCGGCAGGTGCCCTAAAGGGTTTCCGACAGCTTTCTGGAGGGTCCCTCCCTGGGCTGAGCCCTGTCCCTCCCTGGCCCCTGCACCCTCTCATCACCATCCTTCCCTGCTCACTCTCTGGGCACCTGTGTTGGCCAGCCTGGGGCCCTCGCTGCCCCGGGAGCCCGTCACAGCCACCTCCTCAGCAGGGGTGCTGCCTGGCAGGGCCTGAGTCTGTCCCCAAGGCCACTGGAACCTTACTGTTGGGCTTCGTATCTGAAGGTGTGTGAGTGTGTGTCCCCACAGGGTCACCCAGGCTCTGGGACGGTGACAGCCGGGGCCAGGTGGGCGAAGGTGAGCAGAGGCCCAGGTCTCCTCCGGGCGCCTGGTGTGGCCTGGGGGCCTTGGGAAGCAGCTGTGAGGAGGGAAGCAGGGCAGAGGGCACGGGAGGCAGGACGGCTGTGGGGACAGGGCAGGAAGAGGAAGAGGAGGGCCTGGGAGGAGGGAAGGAAGGAGGGGAGAGCTGAGGGCTGGGGGTGGGGAAGCAGGGGAGGGGGCGGTGGGGCTGCTTTTCGTCTTCCTCCTGATTGGGTGTGGGTCCCTCTGGGGTGTTAGTGCTGCTCTCTGTCTCCTCCCTCCCCCTCCACGCTCCTTAGCTTCCCGCCTGCCCTCTGGGACAGGAGGTGTGAGCGACAGTCCCCTGGAACCTAATGTGCTGTGGCTTTTTAAAAATGAGGCTTTAGTCCTCCGCAGCCCCGACTGGACACGCTGGGCAGAATCCCATCCTAGACTCAAGGGGATTCAAGGTCACAGGGAGCAAGGCCCCTGTCAAGTCACCCACAGGTGTGAGGCACAAGGGAGCTGGGCAGGGTGGCAGCGTGGGCAGGGAGCTCCAGTGTCCCCAGTGGGGCCAGCAGCTGTGTTCCTACTGCCATTCCGTTTCAGAACACCAGGTGGCAGCAGGTGTCCAGTTTTGGCCCTTGGGGCTTCAGGCTCTGCAGGAGGAGGCCTTAAGGCGGGCTCCCTGCTAGCTGGGGTACAGAGGGGATGGGTGCCCCGTCTGCTGAGGCCTGCTGCATGTCCAGAAGGACTGGCCAGGACACTGCTGCGTTCGCCTCCTGGGCTGGCAATCTGCTCTTCACCTTCAAAGCTGGACTGGAGGGGGTGGGGGCAGTGGAAGGCAGGCAGGGATGATGGAGTGATGGGCCTCTCCCAGCACACAGGCAGCCGCCAAGGACCGCCTTCCTCCTTCTCACCCTCCTGTGGGACCCCAGACGGGTCACCCATCTCTCTGGCCTGTTTCCTGCACAGGGATGTGACAGGATTCAGCGAGGTTACACTAGAATAGGGGCTCAACGCTAGTCTAGAATAGAGCCCCCCAGGCCTAGGAAGCCCCCGTCTCTTCTGAGGTCCTAACAGGGACTGGTGGTGGGGTCTTCTGCCCCAGGATCCTCTGTAACTACTGCCTGGGCCTGGGCTGCCCTTCCCTGCCTGGGCAGGTTGGGGTGGAGCTGGGGCCCCTCGGGTGTCCTCCCCTCAGCGCTGCCAGGTCCTGGCCTCCTCTGGACACTGTGGTGTGGGTATTGGAAGTAGAGGGGGAGGTGGGTAGCCGGGAAGGGCCTGGGGTCCTGCACCGTGTGGGCAGGAGATGCTGATTCTCCAGGGTCCCCACTAGCTCTGACAAGGACACGGGGGCACAGGGACAAGGGATCTGCTCGCACCCCATTTTGTTTTCTCTGGCAAAGTGAGCAGAGTGGGGGGACCCCTGCGGTCTGCGTCCTGCCCATGGCGTGGAGGGAACGCCGGGGGGTAGGGGTGCCCTGTGGACCTTCCCCTGCCCTGAGAGGGGTCTTCTGGGGCCGAGATGACCTGAAGTCCTGGGGCTCGGGGACACTCGGTGCAGAAACCAGGAGCCCCTCCTCCATCCCCAGGGCGGCTGCCTGCACGTGTTTGGGAGCGACTCCGTCCGCGGCTGTTCCTGGTTGCCGCCGGTCCTCCCCGCGGGGCCAGCCCGGCCCCTCCCCCGATTGCTGGGAAGCGAGGACCCCTGGCCCGGGACCCCAAGCACAAGGCAGCCCCTGTAATCGGAGCTCGTGCCGCCTGTGGCCGCGTCACCGGAGGGAGGCCGGCACCTGCGGCGGACGTGCCTGGCAGCCGCCCCGAGAACAGCCCGTGCTGGGGGCGGGGCGAGCCGAGCGCGGGAACTGGTGCGGGAGGGACGTTTGCGCGGCGCCTGGCCTGGGCCCCCGCCAAGTGCGCGCCCGGCGCTGCCTGCTGCTGGGGGCCGGCGGGTTAATCTGTAACTCCCCACACCCCTGGGCCTCCGCGCCGGCCGACTCCCACCCGGGTTAGGAAGCAGAAGGTGCAGGCTCGGGGGGCAGAGAGGAGCCGGGCCTGATCCAGGACGGGCTGATCCAGGACGAGTGATGCAGCTGGAGGCCAAAGACGTGGTCCTTCCCGGGCCAGCCGACCCTGGACAGAGGCTACACTGTACTGTGGTCTACCCCTGGCTCCAGGGCTTGGACTGGGGCCTGTCAGCCGAGGTCTACCAGGACCCTGGCTCACAGAAGCCCTGGAGAGGGTCGCAGCGCAGGGAAGGCAGGTCCCACCTCCAGTCGCAGCGCGGCCTGGAGATCTCAGGCAGTTAGCTTAACTTCTCTGAGCCTCTATCTCCTCCTTTGCAAAACAGGTACGAAAAGGCCTTCCTCCTGTCCAGTAGAGGAAGGATTAAAGGGCCAAGGCAGGGTCCTGAGCGGGCACTGGATTGGGCCAGCCAGGGATTGCCTCATTTATAAGGTGCCTCCAGCCTCCTGGGAAGGGCACCACCTGGGTAGCAGTCGTGGGCAGCCCCAGGGCACACTGTGCAGGACCCTTGGGGAACCGCAGGATGTCAGCCATTGGGCAGGTGCTTGGCCCCCCAGTGGGCTTGCAGAAGCAGTGGTGTGAGACGCCTTGTCCCCTGGCCCCGCATTCTTCAGCCTTCTGTGATGGACGGCTGACATGTGGCCAGTGGCTTGATGGAAAATTCTTCAAGGCCTTAATTTATTTGAAAAGACAGCTCAGGGTCTCACGATCCAGGGAACCAGCCTGAGGCAGGTTTGACTAAGGGTCAGAGAGGAGGGTGAAGTCCCAGCCCCATCTTGGTCACCCCCTGGAAGGGCCCCCAGGCCAATTGCCCCATGTTTCCAGACTTTGGATTCCCTGAGGCTCTGGGTCAGGGTGGGCCTGACTTGGGATCAGCCATCCCTCCCGTGGGAAGCCAGTTGCAGCACACATTATGGTGGGGTGTGTGATCATGCCAGGACATAGCCCACAGAGAAGGGGGACCCAGGGGCCAGGTGAGGTGCTGGTGCAGAGGCCAGACACCAGGGGGCAGCAGGAGGCCACAGTACGGATCTTCTGGGTCGGCAGCTCTGCCGCTCAATGGCAGAAGAGTCTGCCGAGAGCTTCTTGAAGCTGAAAGATGGGCCCACAACAGGGACTGACAGACCATGGAGGTGTTGTAAGGACTGGCACGTGGGTGGCGCCTGGGGGAACTGAGCAGGTTTAACTGCCCCAGTCTCCCCTAAGAGCCACACTCCAGGAGGGTGGGGTGGGGCTGGATCTGGGGCTGCATCTGGAGCCTGCACCACAGCCCAGGGATCAGGTCCAAGAGCCGGGAGAGAGAACTGGGCTGCCTGGGGGAGCCATGCCTTGACTGCCTGGGCTCTGGAGCAAGGTATTACTTCTCCCCAGCTTGTCTCCCCAGCTGACCATGCTGCTGGAATGTATGCCTGCCCTGTGATGCCAGCCCAGAGACAAAAAGGCCTGACCCTCAGCAGCTGGAGATGCACTTGAAGTCTACTCCTCACTCCACCCCACCCCCACGCCCCAGGTAACGTGGGTGTGCCTGCCGTGGCATCGATGGCCCGCCGCTCTAGGGGCTGCTCCGGAGCCTTGCAGCTGGCCCCAGGTCCCCATCTGGCCAGCAGAGGGGGCAGAAGGACTGCTCTGATATTCTGGACAGCCACACCTGGAAGCGAACGATTCCTGGCCAAAATGGACACAGAAGACTGGGGACTGTGGTCTTTCTGGGGGCTCAGAGGAGAGCAAACAGGTGGGGTCTTACGCTCGCTGCGTGGGATCCGGAGAGTCACAAGAGATGAACGGGCATACTGCTTGGCAGGGGCCAGGCAGGGGACTCTAGAGCTTATCACTTTCTATAAGTGGAGTCCCACTCCTGAGTAAGCAGGATTTGGGGTACTAGAGCAGCCCAGGAAACCTGTCCAAGATGAGCACAGCCCACCTCTGGTTCCAGCACCCCCACCCCCAACTTCAGCTTTCTGCAGCAATGGAGTACAAAGATTGTTCTTTTTGTTTCCTTTTTCCTTTGAATGTATTTTTAATTACAAAAATAGAACTTGATTGTTGTACACAGACAGATGTTCGCTTGCTTCCAGGCCCCTTGGGGTGGAAGGTTGGGCCTCCTCTTGATGCCCACCCCCCCCCAGCTCCTGCATGTCTTTGTCCAGGTGAACCTCTTCCTCCGGTGGAAGAAGGAACAGCTTTAACAAGCCTGTTTTTACCATCCTTGATGGAATTCAGAGTAACAGACTCTAGAGACAGTCACCTTCCGTGCTGTAATGTGGCTGACAAAGGGGGAGTCCCGCAGCACCTGGTTTAACTCCATAATTAAACGGGTAAAGTAGAAAAATAAAAGTGGGAACTGAATGGGAACCCAACCAGAAAGCCAGGCAGCCCAGGGGTCCCAGCCTGCTCCTTCTCCTGGGGCACCTCCCCCCAAACGGTGGTGGAGGTGGGGTGATGGGAGCTGTATTGAACAGAGTACCACAAGGTCCGAGCAAGAGGGACGCACAAGATGACCCTGAGGAGCTCTTGGCACAGGCTGCAGGCTGGACGGGGTTCTCCAACCGGCGGCCCTCCTTGACTGCTGACGCCCAGGCATTCAGACCTTTTAGGAGACCCTGGGGACAAGATGGTCACTAACCAGTGTGGCCTTGTGCCCAGGGTCTCTAGGAAAGTCAGTCTCTGCAAGGGACTGAATAAGACCCTGCCTTCTAGTGACCTCAGGCCACTTGACAGCAGCCCTGCTCCAGGGGTTCTGGGGTCCCTTGGTTAGCTTCTCTTTATTTCCTTAAAGATAAGAACTGTAACATACAGAGAAAAACAAAGCAGTCCACACAAATCCCTGCCTTCGGTACTGCCATCAGAAGCCCAGGACCCCCCAGCATGGTGTCACTCTGGGCACACGCCCTTGTCCTGTTCAGTTTGCTCCTGGCTTCAAAACTCAGAAGACCACTTGTGGCCACATCTGCTTGTTGACGAAGCACCCCCTTCCCTGCAACCCATCTGACTCTGGGAGGGAGTCTGGTTCGGGTGGGTGAGCCTCACCTTCCCTCCCTCCCAGAGACTGAAAGGGCTGAGAGCTCAGGGCTCTCTTGGCGCTCCAATGGGGACCTGAAAGTTCTGGCTCTCCATCTGGGTTGCTCCTGGCTTGTGGAGTGAGGGAGTCCAGGCATTTCCTGGTCCATGCCCCACAGCCAGCTGGACAAAGGAAGGTGGCAGAAAATAATAGTCTTCCTCGGTGTCTTTTCTGGTGGGAGTGTGTGTGCGTGCCCCCAAAGGAGCTGTGTGGGGGAGGGGCACGGCCTTCATAGGCTCTTCCAGGTGACCTCTGGAGGTCCTTCCTTTTCTCCTGTCCAAAAGCCTCCAGCCAGTCAGGGCAGGCAGATCCTGGCCTGACCCCATCCCAAGGAGGCTGAGGAACGGGTCAGTGGTCAGTGACATGATGGGCACAGCCTGGTCCCATCTACTGGGCAAACTGGACCACATATCGGGCTCCAGACCCTACCTCGGGAGAGCGGGAGAACGACGGCAGGCTCTCAAGGTGTTCCCCACTTGGCCCTCCAGGAGGGGAACTGATTTCTGTCGCCGCCTTCCGCTCGAGGGCCTTGGGGCCAGCAGGTGTACTAGGATCCAGGTGCGCAGACCCCTCCAAGCACAAATTCGAGCGCCAAAGACCCCGTCCTGCTCCCACCAGGGACGCACTGGCAGCGGCGGGTTGAAGCCCATCAGCTGGCACAGGAGGCTCAGTGGCGATCGCGGGCAGCAGGGGCCCGAGGGACCTGGCCGG